AATGTAATACTTTGTAAAAAAAAAATCAAAACAATAACCAAAAAAAGCATAAATATATCACGTGCTTAATTTCCATCAATATTATCAATACAGAAATTCTCAAGAAAGAAGCAGGTCAATAGAATGAAACTGACATCAGCTCTTTTATCTCAGGATCACTCATGCACTCCCGGGCCTTCCTTTCCCACTTCTTTTTTTTTGTAAAATTGTTTTCAAAATCTTGTAACAAGACCTTCATGTGGCTTTCTGCAGTATTCTGTCTTTGGAACCTGCACCCAAGTCCTTCTTATTACATTTCCCCCCTCTAAAGTACTTCTTTGTTTCATTTGTGAAAAAAAAATAGCTGTCTAGTGTTAATTGGGAGAAGAGTAGGTAGAAAAGTAAATCTATGTCATAGAACAGCTTGTTGTACAAGCTTGAGGTTGTATCTCCATTTCTTTTTCTCTTGCATAGGATGATATTAGACATTTGCCTTATGGGAGAGTTGTATGGATTCAGAAGTATTTTTTGAGAACCTCAAAGACCATAGAATAATATCATTTTGTAATAACTGAGTTTTGTGAGAATGTCTTTCAAATTAAGTATATCCTATTACTAAAGGAAAGAAGAATTGGCTCAAAACACTGAGTAGCTTCAAAGGTAATTTACACCACTCTGTTTCTCTTTTATTTGGTTTCCATGAACTGTTTTTGATAGAACATTCCTGAATACATTTACTAAGGACAAATACCTGTGCTACCTTCTTCTAGTTACAGATGATGGTAGGAATAACTAGGAGAAAGGAATAGCTTGGTTTGTTTACTTCCAGTCATGTCCAACTCATTTGGGGTTTTCTTGGCAAAGATACTGGAGTGGTTTGTCATTTTCTTCTCCAGCCCATTTTACAGATGAGGAAACTGAGGCAAAAAGGGTAAAGCAACTTGCCCAAGGTCACACAGCTAGTAAGTGTCTGAGGTCACATTTGAACTCAGGGCTCCTTTACTCCAGGCTTAGCACTATATGCAGTCATTACCTAGCAGCCCTAATAGCTTATTACTATGAACATATTAGGTGCTTACTACCTTATTATTAATTTTTTTTAAAAAGTCTACTAGGCAAATTTTGGGGTGTGTTTTTTGGGTGAAGGGGGAGTTAGAGGGTGGGACAGATAAAGGAATCTGTGATTTTATTGGTAGAGGCAGTAACTATTTATTTGACCTCCATTTCCTCCTATGTAAAATGAAGATGTTAGATTAAATGACCTTGAATGTCTCTTCCAGTTCTCATCCTACGAGCCCATGCTTTTGGTGAAGTTCTCACCCTCGTTTGGGGTTTGGTTTTCCCCTCATTTAGACACCTTGGTGAAAGCCCAAGTTACACACTAGGTGTTGGTTAATAGTGGATGGGCATTTGTGCACATGAGCAAATGTACTGAAATAGCCTTCATCTACAGAGGGTCATGTAGCAAGAGCTGGAGGAGACCAGAGAGGCCATTGACCCTCCTACTTCCCTCTCCTTTTACGGAGAGTTAACTGAGTCCCAGAAGTGACTGGTCCAAGATGACCCAGGCATTTAAGCATCAGAGGTAATATTTGCACCAGGTACTCTGACTCCAGACTCAGTTTTCTCTCTATTGCACCAAGATGGGAAAACTAATTTCAGGGTACCCTGGGCATATAATTCAAGGAAAGGGATGGAACGCTAAGCTAAAGAGATGAGATAGCTTCAAGGTAGGTGGGTAGCCGCTATCTCACTTGTGACCTATAGCAGAGACTTTAACCTTAATTACGCTCTAATTGTTTAAAGAAATAACCTGGCCTTGTTACTTTCATGTTGAGCTTGGAGTCTGGAAGACCTAGATTCAAATCTTATGTCAGACCCTTAGTCACCAGGATACCTTGGGCCATTCATTTAACCCAGGGGTGGGGAACCTGCAGCCTTGAGGCCACATCCTAAGTTTGGGGCCACATTTGAAGACCGAGAGGGCCACATGTGGACTCGAGGCCACAGGTTCTGCACTCCTGATTTAACCTCTCAAAGCCTCAGTTTTCTCATCTGTAAAATGGGTAAAATCTGACTCACAGGGTTGCTTTGAGAATCTGGATGAAATCCTCAGTAAATAAGCAGCTCTATTTTCTATTTCTGTTTCTCATTGTTTTCTGTTAGCCTTTTACCCATGGGATCTACCCAGCTCCTTTTCATGACTCCACCCTAGACATACTTGTACATCTTAGTAGGACAGTGGCTGGTCACATTTTCTCAAATAGGTAGAAATTAAAGTCATCAGCTAAGAGTAAAGCAGACCAGGAGGAGTCATGTAAGTGACTCTTGCAGAGAGTAAAATAATGAACAATTCTAATGAGGAATGGGATAGTGAATCAACTGGGAGTGACCTTTAAAAATGGTGACTCCGTATTGATGGCCCCACTGAGGCTCCATAGCATGGACTGAAAATGCAGCCAGTGAGGCAGGTTCTGTGGCTTGACTCATTCCATGTCTGGCAGTTTAAAGCAGGATCAATGAAAGGAGACAGCAGAGTTTAGGACAGGGGAGTGAGACATTCTAGGGGGCTAAGATGCCAAGTGGCATGAACAAAAGGCCAGAATGAATGCATGGATAAGGTATTTTATTAAGTGCTTGCTATGTACAAAACACTGTACCAAGTACTAGGGATACAAACAGAAACTAAGACAGTCCCTGCTCTCAAGGAGCTCACATTTCAATAGGCAAGGCAAGATATAAGGCAAGTTTCAGGGGCAAGTCAGATGGAAAGGACACATGAGCGCAGTGGCAAAGGGAGGTCAGGTAGGGTAATGCTCATTCATTCATGTAATTTCCAGTGGTAGAATCGTAGTGGCTTCTGGTGTTCAAACATTTGACAATGCCAAGGATTTGGAGGCGAGAACTTTCCTTCCCGAGTCTTCAGTAGCTGTAGTATCTGCAGGAGCAGTTGCCAGACTGCATTTTTCCAGGACGATGATTGAAAGCACTGGGCTGGAAGCATTGCTATTCCAAAGACTCTTGGGTTGAGGGCTGTTTCATCAGGGTCTGAGGGGAAATAGTCCCTGCTCAGCATCTGCTCCATTGCCTGGTTTCAAGTCCAGTGAACAAAACGCCCCTCCCAGGTTAAGCTCACCACCTCTAATCTTATGACCTAGCAACCGATTCTGTCCTTGACTGACGCCACCTCCCCTCTGATTGGAGGGCTGGAGGATGGAGTAACAATGCCTTCTATATAGAGGACAGAAACTAGGCTTTGGACTCACTGCATTCTGCATCTGCTGCCCGGTGGGTTTCAACTCCCCTCCCCTTGCCTGCTTAATTATCTGTATCCTCAGCACTTAGTATAGTGCTTGACACATAGTAGGTGATTAATCAATCTTATTTTTTTGTGGAGATGGTGGTCAAGGTGGTGGTGGTGGTTTGCCTTTCTGGTCTTTGGTTTTCAATCTCTCTCTCTCTCTCTCTCTCTCTCTCTCTCTCTCTCTCTCTCTCTCTCTCTCTCCCCCTCTTCCCCAGTACCTGCTGATTCAGCTAGGATGACCTGTAAGGTCTTAGTAGCAAGGTCTCTGTGTGGAACACAGTGAAATAACTGTCCTGATTAGAGTAGAAGGTTTTTTTTTATTGGTGAGTAGTAGGAAATAAGTTCTATGGAAATTGTGCAGTTAGATTTTGTAGGACCTTAAAAATGTTTGGGATCGACGAACTAGGGAGGCCCACTATCATAGGTTATTGAGTAGAAGAATTATATACCAAAGGTCCTGTTTTAGGAGAAAAAAAAAAGTACCAAGCATTTTTGATTGGATAGATTCGTATTTATCATGGCTTCATGTATCAAATTTCCATCTCTGTGCCTTTGTATCAGCGGTCCACTATACATAGAATTTGGAATATTCTCCCTTAACAACCTCCCTTCCTTTTTATGAGTCCTATCTCCCTGAAGACTCACTTAAGCATGAGGCCACACCTCCCACCTCTCTGTAAAAGGCTTTTCCAGGCACCCATAGTTGCTAGAGCTTTTCCCTCCAATGTAACCATGTATCTATCAGGTATACCCGTATATGAAATGCACTTTGCCCCTCTCCCCCATTAGAATGTAAACTCCTTGAGGACAGGAAACTTTTTTTTCCCGCTTTTTCTTTGTATGACCAGCCCTTAGCAAAGTGCCCATCATATAGTAAGCTCTTAATAAATGTTCATTGATTGACTGATGGATTGAGTCTTTTAAAGTTATATTTAATGTTATTACATTTTACTTCAATCTTTTGATACTTTTTGGATGTGGGATCGATGCAGACATCCTGATTGCCAGTGTGGATCCATGTACTTCCATAAATCATCCCTAGAGATTCTAACTGATGCACTATAAGCTTTCTTCTGGGCTTTTAATGGTAGCCATCTTTACCTTAAATACTAGGGACCCTCAGCATGTTAGATGCTATATAATATGTGTGAAATATTCATACTCAGGTGAGTTTGTACTCTAAAACCCCAAAGTGTTTTCAAACCTCGTGTTTGCAACAGAACTAGCAATATAGATTTCCACGGCTTGGTTCTCCCCAATGTCTAGGAGTGCTTATGCACTATCTCCTCTTGGCTTATAGCTTCCTCAGAGGTAGGCAGGGACAGGAACTATTATCCACATTTTATAGACAAAGAAATGGCATCGGGGGGTTAGTGACTGGTATGTTATTAGTCAGTCAAAGAGCTGGGGCTGAAATCCAGGATTAAAAACTCCTTTTCAAGATTTAAATTGTGTTTCGGGGTTGAAATGCTGCATGTCTGGAAGCCTGAAGGAGATTAATTTTAAATTAATGTGATAGAATATGAATTTCTATAGAAAATCACACACCTTCTTGGTCTCAGATTGTAATATTACTATACTGGAGTACAATAACAAGATAATTGAAGGGATTAGCTAATTAGGATGACTAAAGAAGGAGAAAGAGTGAAAGCTTAGAGTCATAATTATTATCCTTTAAGTGCAGAAGGGTTAGCTGGATGATTATTGGACAGTTCTTTCCATGAAGGGCAGAACGATGGCAAATGGACTTCCGCAGTGACAAGTAATTTCAGTTCAATGCAAGGACCTAAGATATTGCAATGAGTTATCATAGGATCACATGGATTTTTATGATAAAATTGGTCACACGAGCACCACAATGAATACCACTCCTGGAGGCACCTTAGTGTTTATCGAGAGTAGATGTCATCAGTACTGAGTGGTGTCCAGGTGCAAAATTCTGAGGATTTGTGATGTTGTGGCTCAATGTCTCTTCTGCATGGACCTCCTCCTTTTGAAGTGCACCCCACCACTCCCACCACCACCACCACCGTGAACTCTGGGGGGTTTATGCTGAATCAGTACGCATTAGAAGATAATGAAGGTGCAGAGAAAGGGACAGAATGAAAAAACAAAACAAACCCAGTCACAGGATGAAGAAAAAAGAGATTCAAGAGCAGAAACAATGGGATTCCTCGACAAATGAAACCACGAAGGTAAATCCGTTTGATTATCCTCTGATAAGAACATCAATGGAGCCATAAAACCACCTGATGGATGATTAGCAAAGTGTTCATTGCTATCATGGCAGATGTCTTCTAGGATGTCCAAATGGAAGAGAGATTGCCAATGGATGGTAAGCTCCCCTAGGGAAGGAGACTGCTGATTGAATTAAGTACTAGAACTTTACAGGAGCCTCCTCAAACCTCAATTTGATGCAGGATAATTTAAAAGAGTAATCTCTAATAATCCTAATCCTAAATCCTAATAATCCATAACAGGAAAAAAAAAATGTGGTCCCTGCTAAAGTTAGATGGCCAGTTCACTGAGTTAGTAGATCAGTGCATCTATTTGGGAAAGGCACTGCTGAAAAGACAATGAGTTAGGTCAAAGAAATAGGACAGATTGGTCCTTCAAGTTTTCCTTAAATACTTCAATGAAATATTATTTAATTCCATATTTTCCCATCGATAACATATTTACTTTTTCCCTTTGATGCTTCTTCCACTCATCTCATGCTGTGTTCCTTAATCATCATATACTTCTCTATATCTCACCCCCAGAGACTGTAGAAGGCATGAAAATGCAAACAAATGGATAATATCTGCCCTGTGACCTGGGGAATCATCTTTCCTCTTCCCTACCCATTTCTACCAAAAAGTATCAAGCGTTCTTTTTTCCTATGCTTTCATTCCCTCTTGGGGTTGCACACTTGGCAGGCCTACAACATGCCCTGGAATTCTCTATACTCTCCCTCTTCAGGCTGGTTTTGCAGCTAGGTGGTCCAGAGAACAGACTGCTGGCCTTGCAGTCAGGAAGATCTGTCTTTTAATTCTGCCACAAACATTGTCATTTGCTGTGTGGTTACAGGCAAACAACTTAACCTCTCCTAGCCTTGGTTTCTCCATCTATTAAATGGAGATCATAATAGCACACTTTGCAGGGTCGTGGGGAGGATCAAATATTTGTATTTTGTAAATCTTAAAATATTACATAAATGCTAGCCATAATTTCTATAATGCCAAATTCATTCAATATTTCCAACAGCCCTTTATGGCTGGTATAACTGACGTTTCCTTATCAGTTCTTTGGAGGAATGACTAGTCACTACATTGATCAAAGTCCTTAAGCCTTTTGAAGTTTTTCATTTCAGTGTTGTTTATCCTATAAATTTTTCTCTTGGTTCTACTTAATGTGCTCTGTATCAGTTCATACACATCTCCCATGGTTTGTCTAAAATGGACTCTTTCCTCGTTTATTGGGGTTTAACAATGTTCCATTAGATTTATTTGTTCAGCCTCTCCCCAATCAATAGGTGCCTCTTTGGTCCAAATTCTTTGATATAAGAACAATGCTGCTAACTTGTGTATATATAAACTGTTTTTCTCCTCCTTTCATCTCTTTGGGGTATAGCACTAATAGTTGTATCCCTGGGGCAAAGGGTATGCACAGTTTATTGACTATGGGGGCACAGATGAAAAAGGTCTTTCCAAAGATTGGTAGACCAATTCAGAGTTCTGCTGAGGGCATACCAGTATATCTACCTTTCTTCAGCTCTTTCAACAACTGTCATTTTTAGGTCTTCTTTGCCAATCTGATCACACTGAGGTAGAGCCTCAGTCTTGTTTTCATTTTGATTTTTCTAATTATTAATGATTTCTAGCGTTTTTCATATGGCTGGTGACTGCTTGGATATCTTTCTTTGAGAGCTGCCTTTTCTTATCCTTTTCTTTTTCGTATCTGTTTCAATCACAGTGATGGAGGCTATTTTTTTTTGTAAGAATATACTTGTGGAAGATATTTATGTATCAATAGGAAAGAAAATAACTCCTAAAGCCAATATTTATATTTATGATCCAACAAGATAATCTTTTTTTTTTGTGCCGCTAAATATAATTTTCAACACTGCACATGACAAAGTATTTCCAGTGTTTTATTTCTGGCACATCAACAAAATCATAAGAGGAATATTAGTTTAAAAAGACAAAAACCCCCAACATTTTTCTTAATACTTATGTCCTAACTGTGAAAATTCAGAAGATTTCGAGTCAATATTTTCTGTTTCTTCTCTATGCTCCCCAAACTCATCCGTTGCCAAGTGGTGTCAGTTTTACTCTCCCAAAAGCTGTCCCACCACTCCCTTTCTCTCTGCCCTCACAAACTCTACCCTCATTCAGGCCCTTATCTCTTTCCAGAACCATGGCGATAGTTTCTAACTGACTCATTTCAAATCGTAGATTTGGATCCCATAAAGGTTCTCAAAAAATATCTCATCTACTAGTCTAAGGGAGACATTATTGATTTTTGTGGTCTTCTTTATCTCTCCCATCACTGTTTCTCCTGTTTATCTACTTGATCCAGCTAAGGAAAAACTGGTAGAGAAATGTGCCCATATTTAGGACTCCCACCTTAAGAGTGAGACAGTCTTTACTCTGTAGCTCCTCCTCTCTGGGCCTCTCCTGAGGTGCTACTTGGTTATTCTGCTCTTTTCTGAAAATATTCAATTTCCCCTCTATCATGATGCAAGACATAAAATATTAGATGAGGATTAGCAGCTACCGATTTATTTTCTGTAGAAGGAAATAGATGACAATAGAACATGGTATGTGTGTGAGAAAGTGAAAGGCTGATTGGTTAGAAATAACAGAAGCCAAAGCAAATATTTCTGGCAATGGGGCTAACTTTCCTAGCTCATTCTTCCCCACTGGGAAGAGGATGAATTGATTTTGGGCACAATGGTTCAGTTAAAGGCATGGTGTCCTACACAATTCTGAGGCAAGGATGGAATTCAACTTAACCAATAATTACCCGGTCTGTTTTTGACTCTCAGCATGGCAAGGGCATAGGCTCCCAAAATTCCACTAGCCACTGACATTATAGAAATGAGGCTATCAGGGATGCTTCATAAAGAATTTACAGAAGAAGAACATCTCCATGGTGATTCCAACACTAACCAATTGAATGAATATCAATGAATGGTTATATATACTCTGCATTTTATGATCTATGTGCATATTACATTTACACCCAACAGTAGAATATAAGCTTCCTGAGGACAAGATCTATTTCTTTTTTTTTGTCTTTGAATCCACACTGCTTAGCATCATGCCATGCATGTAACAGCTGCTTAATAAGTGCTCATAGAATAGAATTGAATTCTCATTTTAAATCACATCTCAGCTTTCAAACATTTCACAAATCTCACTCTTGGCAATCTTAGAGTGGTAGAGAACATGGAAATGCAAGAAATGGTAGATTCTTTAGGTCAGTGAGGCAAAGTCATGATTCAGACCATGTACATGTGGGATGTGAGGAAGATAGGTGTTTGTCACTATCCTTACGAATCACATGGAATGTCTGAAGTAAATAATTCTCAATCTAATTAAGGGTTAGCCGTAATGTCGGTTGCCTGGGACTGAGATGAGAGCTAAAGAAAATCAAAGCTAATTCAGGGCTCCAAGAGTGCTCAACTCTGTAATTGGAAGCATAAGCTCACATGAAGCAATTTCTCATACTAGTCTAAAACATTTCATGTACAATCTTTTTTTTAACTTTTTCTTTTCTTTTATGAGTCATTCCTCAATACTAGCGGCTATCACGTGCTTTAATTTTTATCTTCTTTTCCCTCTCCGGACAAGGGATGGAATTATTCAGCCTTGTAGTTGACTTGGCTCATTGGACATTCTTTTTGGCTTGCTTAGGATTCTTTCTGAAAGGCCTGTGTTTGTGGTTTGGCACTGGGTAAGAAGAATGTTTGGGATAAAGAAAGTCAGTCACTCTCAACTTTCTATAGTGGATAAAAGAAGCATTACGTGTATTTAGAAATGCTTCCACAAAACTTGCCTGTTAAGAGCAATCTTCAGACTCACATTTTGGGAACTATTGGGCAAGGGAATAGCTACCAACTCTTTCAAAGAGCTGGCTTCCCAAACCCAAGATATTAGTGACACCATCAGGTATTGACTTTAATCAAGAAAAAAAAAGGACACAAAAGCATAAGGAAGTCGACTTTTCCTTTAAACTATTGTCTTCAGTAGCAATTTTACATTAGTGACCTAGATAAGGATGAATTTAGTGCTGCGGCTTGGAAAAAAGGGCTTCTCTATATTGATGCCCTGGGTTCTCATTGCCAACTTCGAAGTTCAGCAGCCTATTTAAAAGTAACTGAATTTAGATGTGTTGCATGCCACTAACTCCTAGTTGACAGTTTTCACAATGGTAGACAGTTGTTTCAAAGTGACAATATATTCTCATCCTTTGCAATGCTGCAGAAATATCTCTGCCAGTATAGAAAGAGTAGCGAAAGAAAGCTGATTTGATTTGAGTCACTGACCTTAAAGGAATTCCCTTCCCCCTCTTCGCCCCCCCTGCCCCGGTGATTTAGCATGCCTTTGTGAGAGCTTTTATTTCTCTTTAAAAATTCAATTCTATAAACAAATTGCAGGGGAATTTATGCAAAACATAGATATTCCATGTAGCTATCTGCAAATTTCCTAAGCCAAGTTTGTATAGAAAATTACTTGGGATTTTGAGATCAGGGATAAAAGGAGCAAGGGATTGTTCACCAGACTAGAAAGACTAGAGCAAGGCCAAAAGTTCAGTAGCAAGATTGGATATCTTTAAAATACGTGCAAAAAATCTGGAAAGAAAAGGTACAATTTTTTGCTGGGGAAAGACTGAAGAAATTGTTGTACATAGATTTAATGAAATATTGTTGTGCCATTAAAATAATAAATATGAGGAATTCAGAGAAACATGAAAAGACTTGTATGAATTGATGCAGGGTAAAGTTAGCAGAACCAGGGACACAATACCCACAGTGAGTACAATAACGGAAATCGAAAGAATTTTAAGATGGACTTCATGCTGGGTAACTCTGACAGCCAACCTTGGCCCCAGAGAATAGAGTATGAAATGCACCTCCTTCCTTTCCCTGAAGAGGAACATATTGTTTCTCCCAGTGAAATGTAAGCTACTAGACAGCAGGGGTGGTTTACTTTTTTGTCTTTCTATCTCATGTGCCTAGTCTGGCATATAGTAGACACTGAGTTTAATTTCTTGGCATGGTTGCAATCTGTTGTGTGTGCTTTCAGACTTGGTTACTTTGTCAGCTGGTTTTCCTGAAATGTTTGTCTTTGTTACACAAGAAGCTCATTGTATGGGTGGATGGTCATACTTTCAGAAATAACTGTACTATACAGATAAAAGACATCAAGAACATTAATTACAAAACTATATGAAAGGATATGTGGCTATATGTATGTATATATGTTGATGCATATACTTTCATATGTCTTTGGTACTTCATAGCTTCCAAGGTACTTCCACTCCATTATCTCATTTGAAAGTAGAAAGAAAATCAAGAAAAGAATGACAACAGTAAGATGACATACCAAATTTGTGGGATGTAGCCAAAGCAGTATTAATGGGAAAATTTATATTTCTAAATGCATACATCAATTAAAAGGAGAAGGAATAGATCAATGAATTGGGCATACAACTAAAAAAAAACAGGAAAAGAACAAATGAAAAATTCCCAACACCAAAACAGAAATCCACAAAATCAAAGGAGAGATTAATAAAATTAAAAGTTAAAAAAAAATCAAGGGGCAGTTAGGTGGCACAGTGGATAAGTTCAAATTCCAGCCTCATTTGCTTGACACTAGCTGTGTGACCCTGGGCAAGTCACTTAACCCCCATTGCCTCATCAAAAAAAAATTAAATTAAAAAAAATCAAACAAATAAAAATAGAGGCTGGTTTTATTATTTTTTTCAGATACATAATTGGTTAATTTAACCTTAAGGAAGAGAATCAAGAAACAGAGATGTGAGTTTAAATCTGCCTCAGTTACTATGTCACCCTGGGCCCATCACTTCAACTCTGCCTGCCTGTTTCCTCATTTGTAAAATGGAGATAATAACCTCCCTCCGCTATTATGAAGATAAAATGAGATGATATTGTAAAGCACTTTGAAAACCTTAATGTGCTATGTAATTACTATTATTATTGTTGTTAATTTATGAGACTCTTTTATTAAGTCTATCCACCGGTTCTGTACCTAGATGATACTCAATAAACAGTGAACGAATTAATGAATGAGCACTCTAATCTTTATTGGACACAGTTCTTAGATTTCAAAATGAAATATTAATTTAAAGTAACTATCATTCCACTTTGTTAACACTCTGAATTTGTGGGTAAATATGGGCAGTTGGGGGCATCTAGCTTTCTTCATAACATCAAGATGGTTCTGGCGCATTGCTGCACACAGTTTCCAATTCAAAGCCTCAGGAAAATATGTCCTGGGAGTACTTAATGATCTGCATTTTAAAACATATTTTAAAAACTAACAGTTGAAGGACACATTGAGTATTGCTTTTGTCCCTGTCTCCTAAGTAGGGAAAGACCAGACATCTGTGTACCCTAGACAAGATTTGAAAACTATGCCCCCTATGGGTTATTGCCCAACAATGCCTTTGAGCCCTGAGAAGAGAAATCCGCACCAAATAAACACATCTTCCATAGGAAGGAGAAATTCCTGGTAATAAAAAAAAATATGAGCACAGATTAAAGTCCTAGAAAGTGATCTTTATGCCTTTCTGAGTGAGGTCCCCTGCTTGCTATACTTGCCTCCAGCCCTAATAACCTTATGCGCTAATTTTATCAGTGTGGGAAATGCCAAGCTTGAAAACTTCATTGAACAATGCAGAGCAGAAACTCATTTATAACTTAATGGACTTAGATAGTTGAGCAAACTCTTATTGATTCCAGTTCCTGCTGAACTCTCTATCCTGGAATTGCAATACGGCAAAATGTAAAATGTCAATGTAAAAGATTTAGAATATTAGCACTGGAAGACAGTTTGTAGATCACCCAACCTCTTCCTTTTGCAGGAGAAACTGAGGCCAGTAGTTCTGGAATGGAGGCATGGCTTAAGCATTTCATCCAAAAAGCAGCTTTTAGTTTCCTAACTCATTTTCTCAGGCTTCAGCTGAGTGCATAACAAAAGTGTTTTGGTGGCAGTAAGACCATATGCTTATATCTTCCTTTCTATATGTGTCTCTCTAATATCATACTCCGGGTCTTGTGGGTTTTTTCCTTCCTTTGTGGTAGCAAAGCTATGAGTTCTTTTTAGAACTCTTAAAAATGCTGGGTATCACTGAGCATTTCATAGCCACAAATAAACATTTATGGCATATATCTTACAGATGTTTGCTTTTTTGATTCTTTAAAATGAAAACATCCCTTATGTTCTATAACTTTAAAAATGTTTCTTTAAATTTTAGACATTACAGAAACATTTCTCAATTCCTTGAGCTATATCTCTGTATGTGTCCATTTAGGAGGAAGCCTAGCCCAGGGGAAAGACGGTGGGCCTTGGAGTCAGGAAACCTGGTATTCAAGTCATTCTCACACAGAGACTGAGTAAGATCATGGGTACCCTCAAGCAATACCCTCCAGCCTTCAAACAATCCTTGAGGACTGTAAGTTACAGCAAAGCCATCTACATCTGGTAGAAAGAAGAGATTTCTGGGATGAAATTACAGATCCGGACCACAAAAAAAAAATGTACTCATTCATACACTTCAATATCTGATCGCTTCTTCCATTTAAACTTCCTCCAACAAATTAGAAGCTACGAAATTTTGGGGGAAATGATCTTGAAAACATGGGCAATAGCTAACATATCTATATAAGACTTCAAGGTATGGGAAGCTCTTTACATATATTATCTGATTTTATCCTCACAACAACCCTGGAAAACGAGTGATATTACTGTGGTCATTTTACAGATGAGTAAACTGAGACCAAGGTAAAGTGATTTGCCCAGGGTCACAAAGCTAGTAATTCTCTGATACAAGATTCAGATTCAGTTTTTCTTGGTTTCAGCACTGACGATGATACAACCAATGGCATCAGATATTTCTTTAAAGTTATTAAGAAGGCATCAGATTTTTCCTTGAACTAATTATGAAATACTCCCATTTTCAAGGCACATGATATATAACCTGAGTCAAGGTGATTTTTTTTTTTTGCCTTTAAGTTAAGAAAATGATAAATGTCATACTTTAGAGAAAACACACCTTAATCGCTCTATTTGCCTGGGTTATCTAGAAATCAATATTTCATACACAGATACTTGCAAACCAGCTGCTCCTTCATGGGCTCTTACACAAATTTTCTTCACAGGCTCTTTCTTTCTTTCTTTCTTTCTTTCTTTCTTTCTTTCTTTCTTTCTTTCTTTCTTTCTTTCTTTCTTTCTTTGTCTTTCTTTCTTTTTGTCTTTCTTATTTCTTTTGTTAGCTTGGGATTTTGAAAGGTATTCAATTATTTAAACTGTGATTTCAGTATCAGATTCATTTAGAAATCTTTACAGAGTATAAGGCCACTAAGGGGTTAACCGAGTGATAAGGAAAATTTGTCTCGTGGATAGCTAAGAACAGAATTGAATCTTCCGGCAAAAGCCAGTGCCGAGATGGGTGAAAAGAGCCGTCTAAAGTCCTATCCGGCTCGGAAACCGGGATCGTCAGACCTTAGAAAAGAACGGTGCAGAGCCTGGTCGGGGTAGGGTAGTCCTAGCTTGGGCGTCCTCTTGAATCTGCAGATTTCTGCACTTCTCCAGGGCTAGTGGGCTTGGCTGTGGGCAATGCCAAAGCAGACTGAGAGGTATTTTTAGCCCCTATAAAAGCTTGATGCATTTTTGACTGTTGCTGTTGTCATGACCGTCTCGGTTTGGGGATCGCGTGTCCCCCTTGGGCTGAGCCAGGGGAGGCTGGGCTGGTGTCACAAAGGTTTCCTGTGTGTCAGCAAAATTCGTTTTGCCTGTGACTGTTCCTTAAGACTTGTGCAATCAGGAGCAAGCTATCTGTAGGAACAGGCGCCGGAGCCCGGGCCGCCCAACCATCAGGCGGCGGCTGGTTAGCCAAGCTGCCTCTTCCTCCGCGCCCCCAGGCCCCCACCTCCTCTTTGGAGACCCCATCCCTGCCCGCAGAGCAGCAGGAAGGGTACTCGGAGGGAGCTGAGAGAGACGACCCCCTCTGGCAAACCTCTCAGCCCGCTCGCCTCCCTGCTCATTTCTTGCTTGGGTGGCGGAGGGGAGGGAGAGCCAGGAGGCTGGGCTGGGGCTCGGCGCGGAGGGAGGGAGGGAGGGAGGGAGGTAGAAGGGGAGGGAAGAAGTCAGGGAAGGAGGAAGGGAAGGAGGCAGAAAAGAAGGAAGGGAAGGAGGCCGGGAGGCAAGGAGGCACGCCCCTCAGTTCCCCAAGGAGAGCTAACTAGGGCTCCACGGCGAACTCTGGCCCCCGGGCGCCTCCAAACTCCGCCCCCTGTTCCCTAGCTCGCTGTCTCGGTCTGTGCGTGGCTTGCTCTTCAGCTGTCTACGGCGCTGCTGCCCAGTGCCCATTGCTTGGTGCCTGGTGCCCAGCGACTCCGGCTTTGCTTCCGTGGGAAGAGCGACGGGGACTACCCCTTTTCGCCCTCAAGGGACGCAGAGAAAAGACAAGGCGGCACTTGGACCCCCCAAGCTGCCAAGGGAGATGGGGGCGAGGGCCCCAGGCCCCCCCGAAGCCGCAGCCGCCCAGCAGTGTCCCAGGTAGCAAGCAAAAGCGCGCAGAAACAAAGTTGAGCTCCCCAAAGAAAGAAGCAGCGGCTCCTCAAAGAGCCGGAGCAGCAGAGAGGGACTGAGGCGGAGGGGAAGACGCAGCCGGAGCCGGAGCGGAGCGGAGCGGCGTCAGAGACGGAGACAGAGAGGGACTGGCAGTCGGAGCCGAGCCGCGCGCAGCCGGTGGCATCCAGAGCCGCAGCGGAGCCGGGCCGGCCAGCTCCCCGGAGGCGTGCCCCCCGAGGCCCCGGGGAGCGGCCGCTTGGGACGGGCTAGTGCGGGCGCACTGTCTGCCGGCGCCGTCAGGGCGTCCTTCCCCACGAATGCCAAGGGCAGGCTAGGGGGCCCCGCTGTGCCCGCTGCGCCCGCTTGGGCAGTCGGCCCTACCGCCGCCGCCGCCGCGCCTTCACCAGCACCAGGAAGCAGCTGGCCCGGTGCCCGGCGCGAGGCGGAGGAGTCTGGGACGGGCGAGCCCGATGGGAAGGCGCGGCCGTGCGTCTGGAGAGCCCGGTGCGGCCCATGAGGGCGAGCGAGCCCCCTACGCCCCCTTCACCCTTGCCCTCTCGCTCCCCTTGCCCTCCTCCTGCGCTGCTCCCCCGCGCCAGTTCTGCCTCTGGGCAGATGCTCCTCCCTGGCTCTTTCTTGCCGCCGCTGCTCCCTTGGCCTCGTGAGTCGGCCCAGCCATGACAGACGTGCTGTGGTCAGTGCTCCCCAACGGGACTGAGGTCCCTCCCTCCCCGGGCTGGTCCTCAGGCAACGCCACGGTCACGGCCGCCAGGTGCTCGCTCACTAAGACTGGCTTCCAATTCTACTACCTGCCCGCTGTCTACATCCTGGTCTTCATCACGGGCTTCCTGGGCAACAGCGTGGCCATCTGGATGTTCGTGTTCCACATGAAGCCCTGGAGTGGCATCTCCGTGTACATGTTCAACTTGGCCTTGGCCGACTTCCTGTACGTGCTCACCCTGCCCGCGCTCATCTTCTACTATCTCAACAAGACGGACTGGATCTTCGGGGACGGCATGTGTAAGCTGCAGCGCTTCATCTTCCACGTGAACCTCTACGGCAGCATCCTTTTCCTGACCTGCATCAGCGTGCACCGCTACACCGGGGTGGTGTACCCGCTCAAGTCCCTGGGGAGGCTGAAAAAGAAGAACGCCTTCTACATCAGCGCCCTGGTGTGGGCCGTCGTGGTGGCCGGCATCGCCCCCATCCTCTTTTACTCGGGCACGGGCGTCCGCATCAACAAGACCATCACCTGCTACGACACCACCGCCGACGAGTACCTGCGAAGCTATTTCATCTACAGCATGTGCACCACCGTGGTGATGTTCTGCATCCCCTTCGTGGTCATCCTGGGCTGCTACGGGCTCATCGTGAAGGCGCTCATCTCCAATGACCTGGACAACTCGCCCCTTCGGAGGAAGTCCATTTACCTGGTGATCATCGTGCTGACTGTTTTTGCAGTGTCTTATCTTCCCTTCCACGTGATGAAAACGTTAAACCTGAGAGCCAGGCTGGATTTTCAGACTCCAGGAATGTGTGCCTTCAACGACAGGGTGTACGCCACTTACCAGGTGACTAGGGGGCTAGCTAGTCTCAACAGCTGCGTCGACCCCATCCTCTATTTCTTGGCGGGAGACACTTTCAGGAGAAGACTGTCAAGGGCCACCAGGAAAGCTTCGAGAAGAAGTGAGGCAAATTTGCCATCAAAAAGCGAAGATATGACCCTCAATATTTTATCAGAGTATAAGCAGAACGGAGATACGAGCTTATGAATTGCCCATACGCAAAAAAGGTTCCCAAACACCTCATTAAAAAACAAACAAGAAAACCCTATGGTGTAATGATAAACAGAGTCAGAAAAAATTGAGAGGGAGGGTCTAGGGTGGGGAAACTATACCACTTAGCAGTCAAGTACTTTTAAAAAAATCCTTTTATGAGTTTAGAAAGAATGTAAGAAATTAGAGATCAGAATATTTTGAAGCAGAGAGGGAGAGAGAGAGAGAGAGAGAGAGAGAGAGAGAGAGAGAGAGAGAGAGAGAGAGAGAGAGAGAGAGAGAGCGCCTTCCCCCTGTACTAAAGCCTTTTAGGATATTTTTAATTGGATCATGGTCACCTTCCTTAAGGTTAAATATATTAAAATATTAAATAATTCAATTTATGCCGTTTCAAAATTCTCCACTCTCAAATATACATATATGCACTCACTTTATATTTGGAATATTTTTGCATTTATAATTTCTCCTAAGATATAGGACTGTCTTAGACTTTAGGCTGTACACCTGTAGTTATTATTATAATTATTATCATATTTTACAATCAACATTAGCATCCTACTGATTCTCCACCTCCTCCAAATATTTAGGATTAGTTCAAATGAGAAAGCAATTCTTCCAATTCTTTAGGTAGAAAGTGAGCTGGCTCCTGGACTTTTTTTTGTTTTGTTTTTATGAGTGTAAGTTTCTGGCTGTCTTCAGTTGGAAGATGGCTAGAGATGTCATTGAGCTGAAAATCTTGAAAGGTGATGATTTTCTAAATCTAATTTTCAGGAAAACTTCATTATATTTTGGGTGCTAAATGTTTGATGGTGGAAATCTGTATTAATTGTCATTGTATAAAGTACCAGATTTAAATAATGATAGCACATAGGTTTTGTTTCATATGAAAGCTTAAGGTCTTGGGATGTTTGAAATCTCCTTAAGTAAACATGCTGTTTATTGGCAATGTTGCTGTTTAATGCTGTAGGGGGTTTGTTTTCCTGGATGAATACGTATCCACATCTGCAAAAACATTAAAAAAAAAAAGCTGCTCTGAACTGATGATTTACAGAGCAAACTGACTGAAGTTGAATGCACAAGTTAAGGCAAAGTGGATCTGGGCACAGTTAGTGTTTGAGAGTGATTGGCAGCCTTCCAAAATCTGCAAGCTTCAGATATTAAAAAAAAAAAGAAATGAAGCCATGAGACTAAAACTTAATTATTGTCATATAGGGCTGTAACAAAAGTGCTGGTAAAAGGGACCTTTGTATATTATCCTGAAACATCTGGAACAGTAGGTAAAAAGGCATAAATTATAGACTATCTTAAAATTTTGTGAATTCCGTTTATAGAATGACAGAGCATGATCTGGCCTCACTGGTCCTCATTTTTTAAAATGGGAGAGAAAATATTGTATTTAAATACTTGAGGATATCCCTTGATAGTATGGCAAAGCAAGTTAAATGATTAATCATAGAAATACTCTTTTTTTTAACTACTTCACTTTAAAGAGATGGCTAGTGGGGAAGGGTGACATTTGTATTACAGGTTTCCTCTGGGCATTAACGTGTCAAATGTTTCAGACTTCTCTAATAATGCTCATTCTGTGTTTTAACACGTTTTGAATTCCCACTCAGTCCCAGCCCTATAATATATTTTTCCACTACAGCTGAACTGCATTATACAAACTCAGAGGTGAATACACATCCCCCAAGGATAGTTTAATAAATTTAATTTGCAGAGTGAAAATGAACAATTTTCTCTAATGCGTAGATTTCAAGCAGAGGCTGATGTGGTCATCAGTCATTGTATTCTTGAGGGTATGGAGCATGGGGTTGGATCTAGAGGTAAACATGTGGGACACAGAGTGAATCAATGCTGTATTTGAGCCATTGAATAACTTTTCAGAGCTGGGAGGACCCTTTGAGGTCAACTAGTCCAAACCTCTCACCTCACCGCCAGAGAGGAAAGGTGACTCTCTTGGTTTGAAGGTTTGTCAAACTCTTCCATGTGTCATCTGTCATCATCTATTTCTAGTTTTACATGGGGAAAACAAGTCACCAAAATGCACATAGCAAATCAGATATGGGTGAAATGGAAATAAACATAGTGATGTTTCAAACCTCAGTAGATATTTGCTAAGTATCTTACAGCTGCAAATTGAGAGATTATTCCTATAATTCAAGGCAGGAGAACAGAACATAAAACACAAACTATTTAATGTCTATTTAACCTAGTGAATACTGAAGTCTAGTGTTATCTGTAGCAACATTAAATATCCCAGTGACAAAAAAAAAAAGGTCCATGTCTGGCCCAATAAGTGATGTGTCTCTAGTAGCCCAATTCTTGCATTTCCTTTAGTGTCTTTTTAGATCACAGGGTGTGCAGGCCTGTGCATCAGGCTGCTCTCCGTGCTAGCCTAATCCTACTGAAGGTATCAACCCTGCATTATTTCAGGTCCTAGAGACCTTCCTTTCAGAGTATTGTGGAGATGGTAATGGGAGTTGGGGGGGGGGGTGAATAGAAGTATCCTTTTACTATTTGGAATGTTTCTTTCAGTTTCCTACTTTATACCTCTCATAAGAGACCATAATATCATGTAAGGAATCATGAAACCATGCCAAAAATAACAAAAATGCCCCCATGGCCCAGCAGGGATCTCTGGGAGCTGTGTCCACCCAGTTTGAAATAAACTGGGGATCAGGTTGAAGTGATAGATTCCTTTGGCTGCAGCAGGGCCTCACAAACCTCCCAAAGGCTGAAAGGACAATTCAAGGGACCTGATGATGTAAGGTCTTAAATTTTGAGTGTGGCAACATGTAAGTGTTGAGACAAGTGAATTTGTTAATGTACTATAATTTATCAGTTTACTCAAGTACTCAAAAGTGATGTAAAGTTCTGAACCCAGATGTTTCTTAGGACCTGAGTAGTCCTTGCTGAAAACTTGCCGAATCTATTTGCTCCCTGACCTGAATGGGAAATAAATTGAGAAGACTTGGAGTGTGAGGATTTCTAAATTCTAATCCTGCTTTGCCAGTCAGCTAATCCCCTGGTGAGTTCAAATTCTACAACCCATCTTTCCCCTCGTTGTTAAAAGGGAAATGGAATAACTCCTCTGTCACAAGAACGTTTAAGAGTCTGAAAGATGCTAAAACACATCCAATATGCCACTATTGTTTTCCAGAACTACTCAATTTCAGGCACTGGTTTAGCATTCCTATTTGGATTTCAACTGTGATGTGGAAATATGCCCAGGAAATCTGTTGAAACTACTAACTTTCCTCCTGTAGGATACTAAACTGTCTTTGGCTACAAAGGATTTCATTAATAATGAGGGCTGGAATTGCACCAACAGTAAAGGCTGAAAGTTTGATACTAGTTGTCAAATCTGACTCATCCATTATGTCACAAAGCTTAAACTGTCTGGTCACCTTAAAGACAATTACCAGATTATTTATTGATAAAGCAACTGCAGTCCATTAATTGTACAGATAGGATTGAAAACTTTCCCTGGAAGAGCATTTTCTTTTTTGATCCAGAACACTGATGTGAATTTTATTTATTAAAATGTATATCCTCGGCATAACAGATTGCTGTATTTGGAATCTATAATATATGAGGCATGGTGAAAATATGAATAGAAACTTCATATATCTCTTTGCTTTTCAAACATCAGTATCTTGAAGTACTGAATTCTCTTTCTATCATTCTTTTTGTGAAATTATGATAATCTCTAAAAGTCCACTTTGTGAAGCTCGATGTGAAATTTTCCATAATAATGTATTCGCATGCTCGCCTTTTAAAATTGGATTTCTGATTTTATATATCAAAAGTCAATTTTGTGTCAAGTGAATATAGGATCATACAGCAAACAGAAAAGATTTTAGTTTTACTGGGTCTATAGGGTATATATTTTGTGAGGTTTTGAAGTAAAATTTATACAACCATTGTAAAGAAATGCATGAAATCCATTGGTGACCACTATTTTTAAAATGCAACAGGGTTGACCTATATTCAAAGCAGAACCAAATCGTTGTGCTTTAACAAAACTGGTGGAGAGGCATTATAGATGCAGCCTCGGAGTTTAAAGAGAGATTTGGGAAAATGGGGAAAAAGATAGGAGAATGCAGCTGCTATAGTCCCCTGCTGCTCCAATTAACTCTATTCACATTTTGCCTTAGATGGCTTCTGCTCTCTATTTCTTCATCTAGTCAAATAGCCTGCACTTGGTACTCTTCTCAGACATAATGTTTCTCACAGCTTAAGTATCTTCACAACAGATGCAATCTTCTGTTCCTCTTATGCATCTATGTTCAATTGCCCCGCTTGAGCCTTCATTTTAGATGTAAGCACTTTCCAGAGTGAAAATTGCATGACATGGCTGCTGAATTCTGTTACAACTTTGAATTTCTGTTATTACTTTATAATATATAGCATTGCCAGTTATCATGAAGGGAAAGTGCATGAGTTCCATGTTTAATGTTATGTGCATTTGGATTGGTGTATTTCAGTGCTCCTGTGAAAATGTTTATTTTTATATTATCTGTGATGTAATATTGTTGATTAAACCAGGTTTATTTGTGATGAATCGTGCCATTTGATTTGCTTTTGGAAAGAGTTTTACTTGGTATTTGAGAATTTTTTTCCAGGTTCATCTAAAAACCATCAGGCTAGAGAAAAAAAGACTCTCAGTCATGCGTAAATGTCATGAATTACAGGTTCTCCATTTTCTATAGGGCATCATATCATTTGCATACCAGGTGTTTGTGATAACTTCTGAAAATAGTGTTTGTATTATTGCTGTTGTTATTTTCAGTGTTAGGCATGGCACTCAAGTCCTTGATCATTTTGCAGTGGCAATAGAATTTCAGTACAGCCATGGGTTATTAGGATCATACCTACGATAGATATCTAAACCTGAAAATAACCCAATCAAATGATGAAATGTTACTTTGTGGCTCTGAAGAGTCTTATAGTGTTTTGACACTCAGAGCTTGCCTAGGCTTTAATGGGCATTGTTTTAAAGGCTTGCAGAGAAAGTTCAGTTAATCGAACACATACCTTAAGGTTGTAGGCTTTAGAGCTTCGAGACCTGGGAGGATATCTAATCTGCTTCCTACCTGAAAAATAAGGCCAGGACACAGGCTAGATGGCTCAGTGGATAGAGCACCGGCCCTGGAGTCAAAAGGACCTGAGTTCAAATCCAGCCTCAAGACACTTACTAGTTCTGTAACCCTGGGCAAGTCACAACCCCAATTGCCGTGCAGAGAGAGAGAAATCTGAACGGCAGAAAAGTGAAGCAGAGCTTTTTTTTTTTAACCCACACTCTCAGATTCCAAAATCTAACACTCAATCTTTACCGAAGCTCACTTCTTAGCAGAGGAGTTCTTCACATTTTTTGTGTGTTGCACCCCTTTGGCAGCCGGCTGAAGCCTATGGACCCCTTTTCAGAATCATGTGCTTTAAAAAAAATTTTTTTTGAAGGAATTGCTCAATTTCACTTAAAGGTTGGTGAAAATAAGCATGCCTTTTTATCCCAGTGAAGTTCCCAGACCTTCAGAAATCTATGCATAAGGATCATGTTCCCCAGGTTAAAATTCCCTACTTTAGAGAACTGATTTTCTGAACTGATAAAGCCTTTAGGTATTGTCTAGCCAGCCTCCTTTATTTTATATATGAAGAAACCAAAGCTGAGAAAAATTAATTGATTTGCTTAGGTCACACAGATAGTAAGTAAGTAGCACCCGCCCTTTTAAACACAGGTCCTTAGCCTCTAGCACTAGCCCTCTTTCTATCTTATCAAGCATGATCTATCAAAAGCTATAAAAGCTAAGCTAGAGTGAAGAGGCTGATTAAGACACGTGTTTTAATCTATTAAAAGTGTGCCATTTCATTAAGTACTATTTCATTTTGCTAGGCATAGCATCATCCCTCTCTGCCTGTATTGCTAGGTTTGTGAATAGCTCTGCCCGCCAAACGACACCAGCTGGTAGCTAACCTGTGGATGAGGTCATTTGTGCCCCAGCCGGGGCTTCTGCGCACACCTGACTCATCCCGAGGACTATTAGGCTTTCTTTCCCCTAGTATAGAATACTCAACAGGGGTCTGAATTATGAGCTAAATACTGAATGCTATCTAAATAGGTACTTATGTTCTTATATACCAATTTGAATGGAAAGCTCTAAGCTTTTCCTAGCTACTTTTCTTCCACTAAAATTACTATGATGCTAATTCTTTGTTTCTTTGTTGCTTGACCATTAGACTACAATACTCTCTAGTCCAAGGACTAGGGGAAAAAATCAGTTCTTGCACAAGGTAATGATAATAATTTTTATATAAAGCTTTAGGCTTTTCCAAACGCTTTCCTCATGGCAATCATATGGTATTAGTCATAGTAGTGACAGTAGCAGTAGTAGTAATACTAGCAGCTGCAACAGCAGCAGTAGCAGTAGTGGTAATAGTAGTAGTAGTAGTAGCAGTAGCAGCAGTAGTAGTAGTGGCAGTGGCGGCAGTGGCAGTAGTAGTAACTGTCTTTATGGGCAGTTAGGTGGCATTTATGGGCAGTTAGTGGATAAAGTACAGGGCAGGGAGTCAAGAAGACTCATCTTAGTGAGTTCAAATCTGGCCTCAGACACTAGCTGCATGACCCTGGGTAAGTCACTGTTTTCCTCAGTTTCCTCATCTGTAAAATGAGTTGGAGAAGGAAATGGCAAACCACTCTTGTAACTCAGCCAAGAAAATCCCAAATGGGGTCATGAAGAGTCAGACACAATTGAAACAAAAATGTGCTAGCAACTTTACTAAGTGCTTTACAAATGTCATCTCATTTGGTGACTATTCTACAGCTTCACAACTTGGAGGGCTGCTTGGGGCACCGACAAGTTAAGGGACTTTCTCAGGGTCACTCAGCTGGTAAAATTTGGAAACAGGATTTGAACTTGGGTCTTTCTGACTCCGTGTCTGACTTTCTCTTCCAGGGTCCTCTCATCTCACTGTTACCTGAGCCTCTTTTGTTGGGGAAGAAGCAGAAACTAGGAGAGGACATTTATGAGAATAACTGCATACATCAAGTCTTTTGAGAAGACAAATGAGTCAGGATTCAATTTTTTTTTGTTGCCACCTTATCTATCAATCAGAAATCCTTTATTCTTCTCTGCTGCGGGTGCAGACGACATCAGCCATGAAGTTAGCTAACGCTTTTTTGCTCTTGTCTATTTATTCAAAGAAGGAGATGTCTGCATGGGTCTCTGGAACATCTCTTTGCTCACCCCCATTAGCCAGAGTCTTTTTTTTTTTAAAGATTGATAACATATTGCCAGTGAGGCACTGAATGGCTTTGGTGGATAAGAAGACCAGATACAGAGTCAGGAAGATGGGTTCAAGTCCTGCTTCTGAAATACACTGGCAGCATAATCCTGAGTAGGTCACAACCTCCTAGTGACAATAATAACACTTTAAGGTCATGAATTACATGGAAGTGGAAGGAGTTTTCATACTAGGGAGTTATTTACCCAGATGAAATCATGGGTCTGGATTCCCCTCCTCCCTGCAAAAAAAAATAATTACTATGGTCTTTATTTTTAGCCCAGCTACTTCCAAACTGTGCCCTATAATGAATAGAGGGTATTGCAAAAGTTTTAGCAAAATTTTAAGCTTCTTGAAACTCTTTTGGGATATCCTGTATTTTTTCAAGAGCATTTTGACTTTTTAACAGGGAATATTAATTTAGAACTGAAATGTGAAAATAGAGATCATTAAGTCAACCTAATTTTGCAGTTAAGGAAACTGAGGCACCAGGGATAAAGAGACTTGACCCTTGTCACACAATGATTAAATCTCTACTATATGCTGTTTCCTGGTATGATTAAAGGCAAACTTACTCAAGCATCTGGCTTTGGCTGCCAAGACTACCTATCAAATTCCTGAGGGCTTCAACAGCATGGTCACTCCCTGGCATTCAGGGCAGCTGGTGCCAAATGACACTCTGCAGCTTCTGGTGAAAACCAGTTTGTAACCCAGAAAGCTTTGGTGCTGCTGGTAGCAGGGCAGCCAGCCCATTGAGGGTGGGGCAAGAGGAGGCACAAGGCAGGGCTGGCAGGATGGGAGAGGGAAAAATTCATGTATTTCCTCCTCCAAATGACATGATATGCAGGTATCATCATTAATGCTCTAAGAGGGTGCTAATACAGGCTTTTTTTTTTAACTGAAAGGCATAAAATGTCCAAAACCTATTAAAATATATTTGTATGGCTCAGCCCTATTACAGAAACCATACCCCACATGTGCAACCTCCAAAGACACAAAATCAGAACTCTAACAACATCCTGGACTATCTAATTTAGAAGAAAATGAGGAAGTTGAACAAAAATAAAGCTTTTCCCAGGCATGCTAGTCTTTGGAAACAATATAAATGTTGAAAGAACCAGGGCTCGATAACATTTTTGTTTTAAAACCATTCTTAAAACAATCAGAAAGACAAAGTATACATAATTCAGGTATGTGTATATATCTTTGTTTTTGTCAGAAGATGCAATTCAGATATTACCAGGGCATTAATAAAGGACAGTTTTGAGCAGTGACAACCCTGGGGTACAACTGTGGAAAAGCAATGGGATTGAAGAGCAAACTTCCATATTCTTCTCATAGCTTCACAAGTCAATGCGCATTTATTATGGTGAATATTTCTGTTCAAGAGTGGCAATGTAGTAGAATGTAGGGACTCACACTTTTTTATGTCTTAGACCCCTTTGGCAGTCTGGTAAGGCCTATGCATCCCCTCTCCAAATACAGAGGATTACAAAGGAAAACAATTATATTGAAATAGGCATCAAAATAGCATTAAAAACCAAGTCCATTGGTCCCAGGTTAAGAATCCTCCACATAAAGGTTTGATGTCTCTCCTTGTAAACACAATAGCTGTGTGACCCTGGGCAAGTCACCTAACATCTCAGTACTCTAGGTAGCTCAGCACCACTATAAGTTTCAGAGAAAAATACCAATCTGCACAGGTGGGTGTGGGGGGGTGGGGGTGGAGGGTGGGTTCCTCACTTGGAACTTATCTAAATCAATGAAAATCACACATTTGGTCCCTATTCCCACCTAAGGACAAGCATTGTCCTAGGTGCTGGGGGAAAAAAAGACAAAAAATGAAAACTAGTCCCTGTCCTTGGGAGATACAAAATATAAAGTAATTTCAGAGGAATAGAGAGCTAACATAGAGAAATCCGGAAAGATTTCCTGTAGACATGGCACCTGGGCTGAGCCTTGAAGGAACTCAGGATTGGAAGAGGCACAGGTGAGGATGGAATACACTCCAGTCTGAGTGTATGTTGAGAGGATGGGGGTGGGGGATGGGAGCAGCCTTTCCAAATCTATGAAAGTAAGGAATGGAATGGCAAATTTAGGGACAGAGATATAAGCTAATTTATCTGGAAAGCAGGATATTTGAAGGACAGTGAAAATTAGTCTGGAAAGACAGCTTGTGCAGAGAATTAATGTCAGTCTTAGGGAGCTGTATTTTATCCTAGAAACAATAGGGAGGCAATGAAGATTCTTGAGCAGGGAAATAAGAAAAATGGTAAAACAAACAAATGAATAAATGAATGAATGAATAAAACCTATGCTGTGGTGAAATCATTTTTAGCAGCTGCAAATAGGATGAATTGGAGAGGAAAGAGAGTAGAACTTGGGGGACCAATGAAGAGGCTATATCTATAATTAAGGCAAGGAATGATGAGAGCCTCAACTAAGGTGGTTGCTATGTGAACGGAGAGATGAAGAGGCATAAAGGGGATAGCAGTTTGTGGAAGTGGATTCCAAACTGATAACTGATTGGATGTTGGGTAGTGGCAAGGGTGAGTAGTAGAGATCGACCCTGAGGTTCTGAGCCTGAGGGACAGGAAGGATGGTAGCACCATCGACAGAAACAGGGAATGCTCTTCCCAATATAATTTAATATTGCTTTTCATTTTTTGGAGTTCTTTTTCTCAAGCTCAATTTATATATTAGCAAGTCTCAGCATCCATTTTCTTCTATTAATGATGATCATTCTCTGCACAGGCAGCATGGACGTAGAATGAGGAGACCGAAGTTTGGCTCTAGTCTGACACTTTCTAGCAATGAGACCATGGGAAAGTCACATAACTTCTCCCTGTTCCTGTTTCCTTTTCTAGAAATGGAAATAATGCCACTTCTGCAACCTACCTCATCAGGTTATTTTGAGGAAACAATGCAGTTAACTTTGAAGTACTAAATAACAGCTTTAAAACTATTGGCATTTATCTGATGTTTTAAGGTTTGCAAAGAGTTTCACAAATACCTCGTTTTATATTCACAACAACTCTGAAATATATGTGCTATTTTTAATCCCCATTTTACACATGAGGAAACTGAGATGCAGAGTAGTTAAGTGATCTGGCCAGGGCCACACACATAGCTAGCAAGAGTTTGAGGCTGGATTTGAACTCAAGTCTTCCTGATTCCAGGGTCAGTGCTCTATCCACACACTACCCAGCTGCCTTTATATTAAAATAAAAAGTCTTATGATGCGCATCATTTGCCTCGCATTTTTAGGGTCGTGCTTTTTTCCTTTTCCCTGTGGAAGTCTCAGCACCCATTTTCTTCTATTAGTGATGATTGTTCTCTGCGCAGGCAGCATGGACATCGAATCTCCCATGGAGATTCTTTCACGTAGATTACTCAGGTTTCCCAGAGATTGTCTTAGATGAGGACGCATCCACATTTTGCTCCCTACTTTTGTTGCTCCTTTTCTAAGTACATGATTTTCAGGTGGAAAAGAACCAAACTTTGAAATAAATCAGTTTCCATGGCTATAAACTCAACTATCTCACCAGTCATTCAGTCAGATTAAAAAAAAAGTTATTTCCTTGGCATTTTCATAGATTCTGCAATGGATAGAAAGAATCAAAATAAAAGCAGCAAATGCTTGTCCTTGCCTTTAAAAGCAGTCACAGCCTTCTTTTGGTAAAAAGCTACAAGGTTTTGGTCTAAGCCACTGGGTTTGTTTGCTTCTCTATATTGTGTACTCATTCTGTTCTCTTCAGGTATTGCCCCATTTTAAAATCAGTACCAAAGAGTTTTGAGAACTACTGCTTTGCAGTACAGGATGAGATCTGGTCCTGAGACGTCCCCTTCCTTCCCACTTTTTTCCATTATATTCCTAGAGATTCTTGACCTTTTGTGTCACCAGATAAATTTTGTAACTTTTTCCTAGCTCTATAAAATGATCATTTGGCATTTTTACCAGCATGGCACCAAATAAGTAGATTAATTTAGGGAATGTTATCATTGCAATTAAATTTCTGCTTGCCTCCCCATGAGAAATTAATATTTCTCCAACCATTATTTCGATAAGGAATGTTTTGTAGTTATAGTCATATAGTTCTTGTGTGTGTCTTGAGAAGGAGATTCTAAATATTTGTGTGGGGCACGGCTAGGTGGTTCAGTGGAGTGCTGGGCCTGAAGTCAGGAAGACTCATTTTCCTGAGTTCAAACCTGGTCTCAAATACTTACTAGTTGTGTGACACTGGGCAAGTCATTTAACCCTGTTTGCCTTAGTTCCTTACTCATAAAATGAGCTGGAGAAGGAAATGACTAGTATCTTAGCTCAGAAAACTCCAAATGAGGTCATGAAGAGCCAGGTATGACTGAAACAACTGAGCAAGATTTTTTTTTTTTTGCGTTTGGTTTTTAGTTCAAAGGGATTTTCTTTTTATATCTGTTCATGCTAGATTTTATTGGCATTATACAGAAATAGGGATGATTTATAAGGATTAGTTTTATATCCTCCAAATTTTCTGTAAGTATTAATTGCTTTAATTCATTTTAGTTGACTCTCTAGGGTTATTTAAGTATAACATTATATCATCTGCAAAGGACAACCATTTTGTTTCTTTTTTTAAACAACGCTTATTGCTTCAATTACATTTTCTTCTGTTGTTATAGTTAGCATTTCTAGCACTATATGAAATAGAAGTGGTGGCCATGGATATCTTTGATTCATCTCAATTCTATTGAAGAGGATTCTTGTTGATCCCCATTACACATACTACTGGCCCTTGGTTTTAGCCCCATACTATTTACTATGTAAATAAAAAGTCTTTTATTCCTATGTTTTCTAGTATTTTTTTAAACACTAATGGGGCTATCTTTTATCAAAAACTTTTTTTTTGCAGGTACTGATGTGATCATACTTTTTTTTTGCTCTTGTTATAATATGGTCATTTATGTTTATAATTTTACTAATATTAAACCAACTCTGCATTCCTATTATAAATCCTACCTACTCATGATCATCAGAGCTATTAATCTATGGTTTCTTTCTCTGTATTAACTCTTTCTGGTTTAAGTATCATGATCATATTTGTACTATAAAAGGAATTTGGTAGGTTCCATTCTTTGGCCATTTTTTTTTAAAAAAACAGTTTGTGTGATATTGAAATTGATTGTGTTTAGAATATTCAATAGAATGCATTTATGGATACATCTGGTCTGAGGTTATTTTTCTTTGACAATTTATTCATGGATGGTTTGATTTATTTTTCTGAGATTGGGCTATTTAAATTATCTATTTCTTATTCGGTTAATCTGGGCATCTCATATATTTTCATATTCTCCTGGATACAAAAGGCTACATCATAAACAAATTAAGAGAAATAGAAGAAATTACCTGTCAGATCTATGGAGAGATGAAAAGTTCATGACAAAACAAAGAATAGAGATGATCATATAATACAAAGTGACCAATTTTGATTAAACTGATAAATTGATAAAGTTTTAAAGGCTGTGCAGAAACAAATCCAAATGAAGCCAAGTTTAGAAGGCAAACAGTTAACTAGGAAAAACAAATCTTCGCGACAAGTTTCTCTGACAA